ATATATATGTATATGTATTATATATAATACCTCCCAAAACTTGTTTGCCCCCACTGCTACTTGTTTTCATCCAGCCGGCCCTGTTTTTATGCATTTAATAGATAAACACATATATAGCTTTGCTGCTGTTGTGCTATGGAGGCAATTTCAACTCACAGTGGCTCCATGTGACAGTAGAACTGCCCCCATAGGGTTTCCTAGGCTGTAGTCTTTAGAGAAGCAGACGGCCATGTCTTTCTCTCACGGAGCCACTGAGTAGACTTGAACTGCCAACCTCCCAATCAGCAGCCAAGTGTTTAATTGTTGTACCATCAGGGCTCCTTATATTGCTTTCAGGTGGTGTTTTTGGTTGTTTTTTGTTGTTATTGTTTTCAATGTTGTTTCATATTGTGGTAAACATATATATAACAAAATGTTTGCCAATTCAACAATTTTTACACATGTAATTTAGTGACATGGCAACATGACCCTCATCATGTTATGGAGCCATTACTGCCATCCTTTCCAAATTATTCCACCACCATTAACATAAATAGACTGGGTTTTGTTTTTGCTATGCTGTTGTAACTCTTTTTAATTAAATGACGTCATGCTATGTGTATTTTTTGGTAACTAGCTTTCCTTATGAAACCTGAAATTTGGACATCTTTCCACATCAGCCTATCTGTTCTGCTGTCCATGTAACCCCACCATCTAGTGATGGACACAGTTGAAATTCTATGCATGTCTGTAGAATGAATGGTGTTCTCCAGTGTTTAACTATATGTCAGACAATGGAAAGGAAGTTAGGTTGTTTCCTGTTTTTCACTATTACGAATAATGCTCAACCAACATGGTTGTATGTCTGTCTTTTCACTCCATCCACTTCTCAGAATGACAGGTTCTTTCCCTTCGGTTCCTATCCTCCTGTTTGAATCCTTCATAGCATTCACTTCCTTCTTCTAAGGTCCCAGTGGGCTTCCCACACTCCTGCAGGGCCTCTCCCTGTGGTGCTGGAGCCATAAAGGCACTAACAATGATGAGGTCTGAGACACAGAGGGACAGGAGTCTCTGTCTGCAGCCTCCCTCCTCAGCTCCCACCTGCCTCAGCCAGGCAGCTCCCACTGCCCTGCAACACCAAATCTGTCCCTCCAAAGTCACCCAAGATCTTCTCACTGTCAACCCAACAGCATCTTCACATTGCCGCCTTATACAATCTCTCTGTAGCTTTTGACATCGTGGACCACTCTCTCATCAACTCTTTTACATTCAGCAATGGTGGGCTGCCTCCTCCTTGAAACCATACTCCCTTCAGTTGTACAATGATGGCCTAACTCTTCTCTCACCTTTCCACCTCCTGTCCATTCACTGCACTCCCACGCAGCAATGTCAAAAGAAGACCTCTAATCACAGTATCCCACTGCTCCAAGACATCCATGTCTCCTCAGCTGTGCAGAGTACATGTCAACTCTCCAGCATGTAATTCAAGGCCCTTCTCAATCAGATCCTAACCCACCCCCCACCTCATCGGCCACCTAGCTCTAGTCCAGCTTCACCTCTACTCCTTGACTAGTGACCAGTCGTCCCCTCTCAGAATGATTGTCTGCACCTTCCTGCACTGTGGCATGTGCTGTAATGAAAGAAAGAGCCATAAGGAAAGAGAAGAGAGACAGTGACAGGTGGCATGAATATAAAAGCTCATATTCATGTCATTCTTCATCATTTCCACCTTGTGTTTATATTTAAAAAAAAAAAAAAAAAAACTCACTGCCATCTAGTCCAGAGAGAGAGAGAGACACTCTCATTTGAACTTCCCTGTAAAAGATCTTTCTATAGTGTTAAAGAGCAAAGACTTCACTTTGAAGACTAAGGTGTGCTTAACCCAAGCCATGGTATTTTCAATCGCCTCATATGCATGTGAAAGGCGGACAATGAAGACCAAAGAAGAGTTGATGCCTTTGAACTGTGGTTGGCAAAGAATACTGAAAATACCATGGACTGCCAAAAGAGTGAACAAATCTATCCTGGAAGAAGTACAGATGGAAGAAGCAAGGATGGCCAGACTTCGTCTCACTTATTAGGTCATGTCGTCAGGAGGGACCATCCCCTGGAGATGGATATCATGCTTGAAAGTAGAGGGTCGGTGATAAAGGAGAAGGCGCTCAAACGAGATGGATTGACACAGTGGCTGCAGGGGTGAGGTCGAGTATGGCAAAGACGGTGAGGCTGGCCCAGCACCGAGCAGTTTCATTCTGTCACACACAGTGTCACTGTAAGTCGGAGCCCACTCAACAGCACCTAACAACAACAACACATCGCTGCTGGGTAGACAAAGTAGAGAAAATTATTCCCTTTTCAGAGGTGGAGGAACTGAGGCTCAGAGACGTACAGAGATTATACAGCTAGTAAATGGCAGAGACTAACAGGCAGTAGCTGCTGAGTATAATTTGTTGATTTGAATTTTTTTCACGTATTCAGGAAAGAGGCAGCATCTTGTTATTTCAGGAAAAAAAAAATACGATTGGGTCAATTGACCTCTCTCTGGTCACAAAGTCATCCATATTTATTCTGTAATGCCACATTCTGGTGTGCCAGAAGCATAAATATTTTCAAAATGAACAACGACAACAGAAAACGATAGAGGCTTTCACCTGGGCTGGGGGAGGGTAGCAGCCTTGTGATGTCCTGTCTGCTGCACCTCTACAGAGCCCTCACATTCCTTTCCTGAGGAGACTTGGGAAAGGTTATGCATGAGACAAGAAGGCTGTTTACACAACATTAACTGGAAAAAATAATCTACTTCAGAGACTTTTTTCCTTTGAGGCTTTACAATCAACTTCATTTCCTTTCAAAACTTCTAAACAAGGGAGAAAGGTGTGCATGGAGGGGTCATCTTTTTTCAGGCACTTCCTCCTCCAGCCCTTAGGTCAACACCCTCCCCACAAATATGGGATGGTCTATGGACTGCAGCACACCAGTAACTTCTTCCTTTCTATTTTTAAGACGTGAACAATTTCATTTCCGTTTTTCTTCTTCGATCTTGACTGGAAGTCACAAACAGCACAGATCATTAGAAACAGTTCAAAGTCTCCTCATGAGGTTTTTACAATGGTTGGTATGGCTGGCTGTTTCCTATTAGTAGTCAAGGCAATGTGGAGATGTGCTCAGGATGAATCCTGAACCTGTGTTAAGGTGCCTTAACAAAACAGAGTGAAAGGAAGGGATCAAGGTGAGAGAAAAAGAAGAGATAGTTCACAGGTGGAACAATGGGAATAGGTCTGATTTGTTTCTTCTAGAATTAGCCAGTCTGGGTTGAGGCTCCCGAGGCCAAAGCTCTGTAACCTCTGACTGGAAGAGCCTCTGAGGACAAGAATAAAA